AGCATTTTTATTTAATATTTGTATCTTAAAAATAACGTATAAACATAAAAAAATGTCTTAAATGATTGTCGGACTTTGTCCATTTCATAATGTATGACATCATTTGTTTACATTTGGATACGCATTGAGCAGATTTGAATGAATGAGAGAAAATCATAGAAAATGTCTTAAATACATAATTGCCGGACTTTGTCCATTTTTATATATATATATATATATATATATATAAGCAGTAGAGCCCGGCGTTGCCCGGGGATGTAAGAGATAGATCAAGTATCGACCATCATAAAGACTGAAAAATAAAATTGACAAAGATTATTGTTTAAGTTTGACGGACACGCATGTCTTAATTAGCTTTTTTTTTTTTTTTTTTTTTTTTTTACGAATTGGTCAAACTCAAACAAAAACATTGTTTTCAATCGTTATGAGTCTACTGATTGAATAGAATTTTATTATAAACAATTGTCTTGTAAATGGAATTTTTAAAGCATTCTGAATGTAAAAATAAAGAAAAAGGTGTGCAAGACAATAAGAAACACTATCTGCCAAAAAAAAAAGTGAAGTTTTGTTGAAATCGGTTGAAAAATGTAGGAAATCAGATCCCATATATAAACGAACACACACAAACAACCTGGGTTTTATAATAAGTATAACTCGATATGAGTTGTCCCCCTTTCATTCTCGCGATGCCTCTTAATCGTGTTTTCAAATTGATTTTGTGCCAAAACAATTGTGTTTTTCCAATTTTTGGCACTGTCAGAACCACCGCAAGGTAATTTTACGTAGTCCTGTGAAGTTTTGTTGAAATCGGTTGAAAAATGTAGAAAATCCGATCCAATATATAAAAAGTACAGACACACACACACACAACCTGGGTTTTATAATAAGTATGAGATATATACACACACTATTAATGCATTGCTCTTCAAGTGAATTGAGCTCTCCAGGTCACTGGCATATTTTGTATAGAAAATGTTAAAATTTCCTTTTCTCTCTGCTGTGCAACAATAGCCTAGGGGTACAATCTCTGACTGATGCCAAATTGGTCAGGTTTCAATCCTGGCTTGAAGCAATTGGATATTTAGCCACACTGAAGAGCTGTGAAACAGTCTGTCTGTGGATAACTCTATAGTTTTAAGGTATATATTTATGGATAAATTTGTGCAATATTGGGGATAGTGTATGCAAATATAAAAATGGATATTGAGGTCAACACAAAGCAGCAACACTTTCATGCATAAAAATAATTTTCATAACATGGCCTGAAGATTGAATTCAAGCATGGCCTGAAGATTGAATTCAAGCATTGTCTATATTATTTAATGAAACGTGTATGAATGAAAAGATGCTGCCTAAATACACTATATATATATATATATATATATATATATATATATATATATATATATATATATGTGTGTTTTTGTCTTAAAAAGAGAGAAACCACAAACGTTTTTGGTTATAATGTGGATTTGTTTTAGTGTCTATATATTTTATTCTTCATATTTTTGCTACACGTGTTTCCAGTCTTGTGACCTTCTTCAAGCAAATTAAAGAAATCAATGTTCTTTTCATATTTCATTGTTCATTTTTTTGTATTTGTAGTAAGCCTTGGTTCTATTTTTTCTAACTTTTGGCAAAAGTGACTTTCTGCCTAAGTGGTAATAAAGTTATTAGGTTTGGTGGCAATGACAGGTGTGTTGATGATAGATGCCCCCCCTATCCACACATCACCCTGAGACTGTCAAATCTATTTCCATTTCTATGTATCGCATGTGAGCATGCATATCCCCACCACTTGCTTGCATATGAATCCGTATACACACAAATGTACATTTTTATATATATATATATATATTCACACACACAAACAAGTATCCATGGAGAAAAAATATATATACTGGCAAAAACAAATAGACTACTCACGGACACTCACACACACTGTGAGCCCTACACAACCCAGGAAAATTGTGTGTGTAAATATATATATATATATATATATATATATATATATATATATATATATATATAAGAAATGGACAAAGACCAACAATTTATTAAAGACATTTTTATGTTTAACATTCTTTTTATAGATACAAATATTTAAGTAAATGCTCTGTTTATAATAAACAGTATTAAATAACATTTACCGGCCTGAATGTCCGAGAAATTTTCAAACAGTCAAAGCTAAATGACGGTTCCGTATAGGATGCAGGTTCGTATCCTGTCAAAGGACGAATATTTTCTATGAAAATTTCTCAGACATTCAGGCCAGTAAATGTTATTTAATACTGTTTATTATAAACAGTGCATTTACTTAAATACTTGTATCTATAAAAAGAATGTTAAACATAAAAAATTTAATATATATATATATATATATATATATATATATATATATATATAAAACAATGGAGTGAATAAAATGAACAATGAAATCTTAAAAGAATATAAGGAAATTTTATCTTCATCTGTGAGGAAGTTGTTCAGTATTCACTGCCAAATCAGAGGATTGTTATTACAACACGCTCTTCTTTGTTTCTAATAAACCACTTTTTTGATATTTACTTCATTTACATTATTCAGACAGTTATCCTCATCTTTGTTGCCATATCCAAAACGTTTCGTCCATGGTATACTCAAGCTTTCTTCAGGATCTGTCTATATTTCTGAGTTGAGGTATTGTAATTATTTACATTATTTAGACTGCTGTCCTCATCTTTGTCATATTTACAATGTTTTGGCTGTTGCACGCTCCGGCTTTTTTCATATTTTATATATATATATATATATATTGGAATTTCAAACCCTTTCTTGAATAAATCAGATTTTGAGACCCAAAAGACTGATAATCAGGAGTTACTAAATCTTCTTCCATGACATGGAAGTGTCCATTTTCGTCAATTTCCAAGAAATTTCAAGTTGAACAATTAACAAAAAATTGAGGTCACTGTTTCAGGTCATGTATAATACTTTTTATCCATTGGGGTACCATATCTTTTTTTTTTTTTTTTTTTTTTTGATATCTCAATTTCAGTTATTTCCCGTTAGTAACTCAATTCTCAAAGTTCATGTTCACCTCTACTGTGGACAGGTATTGAACTCACAACTCTTTGGGTCAAGTCACTGGATTACTTCAACCAATGCTTTTATCCACTGGGCCATGTCCTAAGAGAAATCAGTAAATTAATTTTGGGGGACTTATAAATCTAATGTCTCAGTAACATTTTATTACCAGAGCTCATATTACATTTTTTTTTCTCTAGTATTCTGTATTACTGGTTACCATATTGTATTCATGTCTAGTGGACAAAATAAAGGGTTGGGTTTGAAATTTCAACATTTATCACCTGAAGAAGGCCAAAGAATACAACAGCTGAAATGTCATGAATATGAGAAAGATGAGGACAACAGTCCAAATGATGTAAATAGTTACAATAATTCATCTTGGAAATATAGACGAAATTCTTACTATATTATATAGACTAGTTTAAATACATCTTGTTGCTTTTTATCATAATCTCTATAAATGTATGCAATATGCCACATGTTTCTACAACGGTTTTAGAATAGTTATCTCCCTTGCACTAGAAGATTGAAAACTAGTGAAAGAAAAAAATCTTTATTTCTCATTTACATAGTGGATATTAAACTTGTTACAACATTTCTTTATCTATGTCTGAGACAATAAAACTTCCAGAAGACTGGAGATTTTCTCACAAGTGACAGGGAGTGGAAATGAAAGTAAAAATAGAAAAAATAAAAATGATTCTACCTTTCGGCACTGATAAAAGCTTTTTTTTTTCTTTTTCTTTACCCATTCAACCAATAACCCGTACATTCATTCACTGATTATGTCTTTCTATTCACCTAAGCTGATACCCTCCCCCCCACTGTCACATCCCTTGGCCTTCATCTTCACTGTTCTTACCACAAACAGAATCAATGGCCCCCAGCTACCATAGCTGAAGACTGGTCATCTCGTGCCAGAGGGCGTAAACAACTTCAGCCTACTGGAGACGTACTCCTTCAGCAAAATCAGAAAATGTTTCTCAAACAATGCGGGTTCTTCACATACCTAACTTCCCCTTACACGTGCTCAATATTTTAAGCCCCCCCCCACTCTGACACTCCTTTTATGCATGTATTGAACAAATTACGAAGACAGCCTGAAGGAATCCAGGATTCCTATATATAGGGTTGGAGAGATCCTCATGCCAAACTAATTTATCACCTCCAAGAGAATACAGGTTAGGGTTAGCCACCGAGCATTATGAGGTGCTTCTTGAACACAATCAGGTTTCAGAGCTTAATGAGCTGGTTTATAGATAGCAAGTCTGATCCTCAATCAGAACTCCATAAAAGTGGCCCTGTGTCAAATCTACTTCAAGTAATATCTACTTGCGTATTTACATCTGAGATAGATTATCCATCCAGTCCTCTTTTATACTATCTGTACATTTTTATGAAACATCCGGAATGAAACACTTACTTCACAAATGCTTGCAGCCTAACAGACCTGTTGGCTGGGGCTTCAGAATATGCTGTATGTTTAAGCTTAAGACCCTCCCCGCAAGTGAGTCATCCTGGGTAAGAGGATAAAATACATCCGTGTCCTGGATAAGATTATAAACTCTAACCAACAGTGGGGCCTGTGATTGGGAGGTCTTAAGAAGTGTGGAGCTGCCTCTTGATTGCTGGTGTTCTAAGGTATCAGGGTGGTAACACCTGTTAGGGTCCCAGCTATGGGCAAATATTTATCTCCAAACTGGGGTCAAAATGCTATGAAAGGTTAAAATAGGTTTTAATACCAGCAGTAAATATTTGTAAAAAAGATTACCAGCAATGAATTTTTGAAGGAAAAATTATTATCAGTAATATATTACCAGCAATACATTTTTGAAAAAAAAAATATTACCAGCAATAAAACATCTTGTCAGCAGTAAATAACCCATTGAGGTTGATATGCCATAAAACAGAACAAACCAAACCAATATATA